GGTGAGCACTTGCTGCTGCTGCTGCTGCTGCTGCTGCTGCTGCTGTATTTGCTGCTGCTGCTGCGGGGGGTGGTGTTGCTGCTGCCGGTGTGCTTGGTGCTGGTGTTGGTGCTGGGTTTGTTGCTGGTTGTGGTGGTGTATTTGCTGCTGCTGCTGCTGGTGTATTTGCCGATGCTGATTCCGGTATGTTTGCTGCTGCTGGTAGTGTATTTGCTGCTGCTCTTGTGCGTGCTGCTGCTGCCTACTGCTGCTGCTGCTGGTCTGTTAGGTGCTGTTGCTGGTGCATGTACAGCTGCTGCTGCAGGTATACTCGCTGCTGCTTGTGGTGTATTTGCTACTACTGCTGCTGCTGCAAGTGGATTTGCTGCTGCTGCTGCTGCTTGGGTAGCTTCTGTTTACGTTGCTGCTGCTGCTGGCTTGGCTGTGAGGCTGTGGCTGCAGCAGCTGCTGCGCTGCTGCACTAAATGTTTTTTTATTTTGCCTTTAAAGCAGCAAAAGTATTTCGAAAATAAAAAGAATAAGTAAAAACCGAAGTGGGCTCCAAAAGTGCGAGTTTGGGGCCGCAAGACAAACTGAAAGGCTCGCGTGCTGCTGCTGCCTTTGCTGTGCTGCTGCCGCCCGTGCTGCTGCTGCTGCTGCTGCTGCTGCTGCGTCCCCTCGGGTGTACGTACACCAGAAGCGGCTACAAGAAAATGCTCAGAAAACGAAAAGAATGCCTCAGAGGAGGAGCTCAAGGCGCTGTAGCTCCAGGTGAGGAAGTTTGAGTGGCTAGCTGCTGCTGCAGCACGAGGTGTCGATACAGCTGAGAGGCGGCGGCGCGGGGGCGGGTTCTGGTCGGATTTCCGCGGAAAAGGGACTTCTGGGGTTCATTTTAATTCATTTAATCATTATTTAATTTATTTTATTCATTTAATTCCCTTTTTTGCGTTTTTTTCCGCTTTTTCCCGCAGGAATTGCAGAAGCTGTCACCGGCTTCCGCGACAGCGGGCCCACCACGGCGAAGACGAAGGCGGCGACGGACGAGGGCACAATGCGGGCGATGTGAGCCGAAAAGCGGAAATAGTTCGTTAAATGGAATTAAATTTGAATTAAATCAATTTAATTTAATTAATTTCAACTAATTGCGTTTTAAAACGCGCAATTTGGCGTTTATTTGCGCCATTTTTGCCTCTGCGCTGCAGCACCCGGAAGAAGAGCGGAAGGCGCTGAGCGCGAGCTGTCTGTACACCTCAAGCCTCGCCAACTTCATTTTCTTTCCACTCAAAAATTCCAAAACTTTTATTCTTCAATTTCTTTTCCAATTTGCTGCTTTGTCTCTCCGCCTAGTCCTCACGTGGCTCGCGAAACAGGCTTTTAAAAGCTGCTGCTGCTGCTGCTGTTTTCGCTGCTGCTTATTTTGCTGCTGCTGCTGCTGCTGCTGCTGCTGCATTAAATAGCAGTTTGCAGCAGCAGCAGAGGAACTGTAGAGGTGTCGCGTAGGACACGGGCTGCTGCTGCAGCAGCTGGGAGCGTGTTGCTGCTCTTATCCGCTTACAAACAGCAGCAGCAGCAGCAGCAGCAACAGAAAGAGCAACTGCTGCTGTGACGTGGCTGCAGCAGCTGGGTGTGCTCTGCTGCTTAAACGGCAATCAGTGCAGCGGGATGCACATGCTGCTGCTGCTGCATCTGCTGCTGCTGCATCTGCTGCTGCTGCTGCATCTGCTGCTGCTACACTGGAGAGTTTGTTAGAAAGGCAGCACCAGTGGTCACAAGCGGGGGCTGTGCTGCTAATGACTTTCCGCGCTGCTGCTGCTGCTGCTGCTGCCAGGTCCACTGGCTAGCTCATCCGCTGCCGGGGAAATGAGCAGCAGTTGCCATTTATAATATTAATATAATTTAATTTAATTAATTTAATTCAATTTAATTTAATTCAATTTATTTGAATGACGATTTGGAGTGCAGCAGACCTGCTGGTCTCGTAGGGGCCAGTGCCGAAGGCTGGTGCCCGGTATCTCGTGCTGCAGCAGCAGCAGCAGCAGAAGCAGCATTTATTTGGTGAGTTAATTGTTTTTAAATGCTTTAATTGCTAATTTATATATAATTAAACAAAGTCAACTTATTAATTTTGCTGAAGCAAACTGCAGCGCCAAAGACACCAGTGGTCTAGTCACGGCGCCGCTGCTGCAGCGCTCTCGGCCCTGGGGCAGCAGCAGCAGCAGCAGCAGCAGCTGCTGCTGCAGGAGGAGCGCACAGCGAAAATGGGTTGAAATTGAATCCATTTTCTTGGTTCTGTTGTCTCTTGAGATCCCATTTCCTCGAAGTGCTCTGTGTGACTCTCAGCTGCAGCCGCAGCAGCAGCAGCAGCAGCAGCAGCAGCAGCAGCAGCAGCGC